ATATTTACAGTATATACATTCGTACTTTCCGCGTTAAGGTTATGGATATTTTTCCTAAGGTGTTATCCGCAAAAATTTCAAAATAGAAAACTGACCATAATAACCTAGGCCTTCATTCAAAAGCAACCTTGTGACTGGAAAACAACACCAACTTCTTAACGAAAGTGATAGTCACATTCACAGTCGCAAACAACGTCTATCAATGAATTTTCACAATACTAAGCAGAAACTGTTCTATATATATTTTAGCTCAAGATGTAGGAATAATAAAGGTTTTTTACCCAATGCCCAAATTTAATCAAAATGTTAAAAGTGAACTTGGTTTGGACATATATAACTAAGTTGTAGGAAGTTGGTTTATCGTGAATCCATTCTTTGAGAAAGTATACATCCTTTGTACAATAATTATACTTACTGACCGTAAATTCTCACAGATGTGACACCTAGATACATTATGAAACCGATAGACAAATAATTATTATAGTGTATTGAGCTAACCAACAAATTTAAATGCACGTAGTCATAAAGGGTTTTAAATTTAGATCTGAGACATTTCAAATTTAGAACGATAGTCGTTCATATAAAAAATAAGCTACAAATGTTAAAATTTACAGTGGTTCTCTAACTAATGTCAGCTGATGATGAAAATCCTATTACCAATCAAATCCCTACAAACCAACACTTGAATATCAATGAGATGCTCACTAGTGACTTGCCCTATTCAGGTAGGTAGTTGCCTGGGGTTCTAGTGAGAAGTCGTGACCAGTAGGGTGCAGCAGGTCGGGCGTGAGGACAAATACTCGCCGAAGACATTGGCTAGCGGTCGCGCTATGTCGTGAATTGGCAGAAGTTAGAATTCATGGACCATTGGATCGGGTCCCAGTGGCTTAATAGTATACGAACTCGCATTGTAACCAGAAGGTCCTGGGTTCAAACCCTGACAGTATGTGCGTACTATTGAAGAGTCCCAAACTAGGACGAAACAGCTGTCCAGTACTCCCAGGTTTTCCAATGGTTCTCTAACTGATGTCAGCTCATGATGAAAATCCTGTAACCAATCAAATCCCTACAAACCAACACTTAAATTTTATTTTATTCGGTTAGTCAGTCCGACATATCTCATGCAGTCAGTTAATTTTTGAATTCATTTTTGGTCAGTTTGTATTGGGAAATGGAGGACTTCAGTTATGCACACGGAAAAAACTTCTCTACCTCCTCCTTCACACTCAAGCATAATTCCAAGTTCTCTGGTTTTGTTAATAATGTTTTGCTTTCTTTTTGTTTTTTGAATTTTTGTATGGTGTCTTAGTAACATACTCTTCTTAACTAACCCTTTATTTACTGTCTCTACCTACCACATAATTTATTTTTTGAAAACATATCTCCATTAACATCCTATTTCATAATACGCAACCCATGTCAATACTTACCAATCTTCACCCCTACCTAACTAATTTTTATTTTATTTTTGTTTGACAATCTGAATGTACACAAACACACACAAAATAATTATATATAAATGCGATTGTACAACTAAGTGAATGAATTCATCGCAAAAAAGAGACTCTTCGCTGAACTTTGTCGTTCTTATATTCATGTCTGGATGGGAATTTTGCGTAAACTTCAGTTAAAAACTAATTTTTCCCAATGAACTTTTCTGGATAACCACTTTTCCTAATATGAATTTAACACCAAGGAGGGTCAATATAACAACAGCTCCAAAGAAACCATTGTTTATACAACAGCATTTTCTTGGTGACAGCATTAGCGAAATAGTAACACAGTGACTGAAGAATGAAGTTAAAAGAGCTTTCACTGCAGCTGAGACAGGTACGTTGTCTCTTCACTACCACTTCTATTTTACGTCCGAGAAATAAGGACAAACTACCTAATTTTGCCTCCTCTATGTGTATGTATCAGTTTGACTGCAGCTGCGTAACCAGCTACATGACATATACAATTAGGCAGCCTCATCATCGTATTTTATGAATATCATCCAGCATGGTTAAGCAAGGCCAAACGAGATCTATTCGTAGCTCTGTTTTAGCACACCATGTAGATATTGTGCATAAAGTTGATGTTAATCCTTATTTTGCTTTACGAGTTCATCTTCTACATACAGCTAAAGCCATAGAAATCCACCTGAAGAAGCCATAGGAAACCTGTGTTCAGTAGAAATTTGTACAACCACTTTCCTTACCTTGGCCACCGTTTCATGAATGTACAAACCGGCCCCTGAACATTTAAAATAATATTATTATCCAAATTATTTTATTATTTTTCTAACTACTTCATCTTTAATTACATGTTATCATTGTTGTAATCATATCTACCCTTTAATTGTTTGCATTATCTACCTGGGTTATCATCAAGCCACGTGACTTGCTGATATTGATTAATTATTGTTAACAAACATATCGCCACTTGATTGGTAAATTGCTGTGTATTGTAATAAAAATGCTACATATATTAGAGTAGAACCGGAGGTGAGGATCTAAGTGAAAAGTAAAACTGATTTCTTCGCTGTCCTTGAATCATTACTCAAATCATCAAACTTGAAGAAGGAAAGAGATACGCCAAACAATCGTACCAATGGTCACACAGGAAAAACAACACACACAACTCAACTCTCAAGAACTAAAGGCCCTCGAAAATCTAAAAAAATAGGAAGGACACCGTCATTCTACCAGCTGACAAAGGAAGAACAACAGTAGTCATGGACAGAAAAGAATACACCAAGAAAGCTGAAGAACTACTCAAGGACGAGGATGTATGTCAACAACTCCCAACAAATCCCATACAAACATTAGACAACCACATCCAAAGAACGTTAAACTAGCTCACCAAAACTGGTCACATCACAAAACAATACCAATGACGAATGAAATCCAATGGACCAGTCCTACCACGATTCTATGGCAGACCCAAAATACACAAGCCAAATATCCCGTTACGACCAACTGTGTCACTCCCAGAAACTCCAATGTACAATTTATCCAAAGAATTATACAGAAAATTGAAACACCGAACGGATTCCTGCGATTACTCCATCAATTCTGCTATCCAATTTCTAGAGAAAATCAGAGGCATCCAAATAGATGACCAAGAAATAATGGTATCCTTCGACGTCACAGCATTAGGTACCTCAATCGGACAGAAACTAGCAAAAGAGACCATGGAGCAATTACTCAGCAACGACGAACAACTCCCACAACAATCAAAAATGCAACACACAAGTTGGATGGAATGCATAAACCAAAGGCCAAATGTATGGAAAAGTCAAAGGAACACCCATGAGATCGCCCATATCCGGTTTGACTGCAGAAGCAGTGATGCAAAGGCTCGAAAACATAATCCTACCAAAGATCAAACCCAAAATTTGGATACGATATGTAGGCGACACATTTGTAATAATCCAAAGAAACGAGTTGGATAAAACTCACAACTTAATTAATGACGTCTTCAACGACGTCAAATTCACAAGAGAAGAGGAGTCCGAGAACAAAATCCAATTTTTGGACGTCTTAGTCAAGCGAACAACCACAAGGGAATTAGAAACTCAAGTTTATAGAAAATCAACTCACACAGACCAAATACTGAATTACAACAGCAACAACCCAATAACACACAAAAGGAATTGTATACAAGCACTAATCAAGAGGGCCAGGACTCATTGCAGTACTCCCATCTTAAGGAAAATTGAAGAAAGATATCTCATGGATGGCTTCCAAAAGAATTAATATACACGGAATTTCATCAGAAGAAATATACCCCCAACCCAACCTCCTAAATCAAAGGCCCCAAGGAAAGCACAAGGAATTTCGCTTTGCCATATATAAAGGACATTTCAGAAATCACTCCAAGACTCGTCAAACTTTTAGGAATTGATGTTGCACACAAACCAACAAAATCACTTCACTCAGTTCTATGTCAATCAAAAGACTCAACAACGAAAGAAGGTGAAAACCAACATCATCTACAAAATAAATTGTAACAACTGCGAAAAACACTACATTGGCCAAAGTGGACGTCCCCTTCGTCTTCGTATCCACGAACATAAGCTAGCCGTCAAAAGACATGACATGCACTCCCTCAAATCACCACATACAGACAACCACGGACATCAATTCGATTGAGATAATGTTCAAATATTAGACAGAGGAAACAACAAGAATGCTAGAGAATTTTTAGAAGCCTGGTATTCCAGTGAATCATCAATCAATAGACACATCGAGATAGACAAAATATATCAACCGATAAGGAGGAAACCTCACACAAAAAGGGCCAAAGTTTAAGTCAAAGAAACAATCAATTCCAATACAAGTAACCTACAGGGTGTGAAAACACACAAAAACAATCAATCACGTGCAAGGTCACCAGGAGAGATTACTAATAAACTCGTTGAGAAATCTAAAAGCTCACTTCAAATTGAAGTATGCGCTGAAGATGTTGCCCAGTAGGGCAATGAAAGCTTCGCAAATTAACTATCCAGCTCAAAGAACACAATCCCATCAAAATCATCCACCTGAGCTACAAATCTTCTCCACCATATCTAAATATTTCTTCGCTCAATCTTTTTGCTTTCTAAATGTCTAAATGGGGATTTTTTCTGTTTTCTATTCTAATAGGAAATACAAGTTAAGTAACAATCGTGTATATAACAAGAGAGGTTAGACGTTGAGAGGGAGATGAAATCGATGTACAGTAATTCAAAGCCTAATCACTAAGATGAATAACTGATCCAAAGAGATATAAATGTCTATTCCACAACTGCTTAAAGTAATTTAAAATACCTTCATGATTTCTTTAGCTGTATGTTATCATATGTTTTCTGAAAACGGAAAGTAGCTTATAAGGCAGTACACAAATCTTCAGCTTTTACCTTCGTGAGATAATTTCTTCCGGTTGCATAAACCATCTAAATATTATCAGTTTATAGTAAATTTTGTTTTGTAATAAATTGTACAAATTCTGATGTGTGTGTATTGCATAATGCTTACTCTTGGTGAACCATAGGGTTCAAATATCCGATCATCAGTAGTGGACAATGAATCTTTCCATGATTTTCCAGAGAATTTACACCTTTCTGACCAAGATCTTTGAAGTCTGCCAGTCTGTTGAGTGGAAAAGTTGTCCGATCTCAGAGTGCTAGGCGATCGAAATGAATGATAATTTCTATTATTCCTATCAAATTGACCACGACAATTTTTTAGTGAAAGACTGTTTGATTTCCTTTTGTCAGCAATATAGACGTTATAATTCCTATGAAAAGAAAAAAAATTAATTGAAAGTTTGATCAAGAGGGATGATACAAAACTCTGAACATATATTTGAAATATTCATTTAAAAGAACCTTTAAAAAATAATGCAACGTACTGTAAAGAATGTGAATATTAAAGAAGAATGAATACCGTAAAGCCTGTAGTCTCATTTACAATCACTAAAACATTTACACCTTTATGTATATTCACAGAGGTGGATAAAGGCCGTAGACAGCCAGTAGGATGCCCAAGCACTTCTAAGTTACACACACTTATTCTGCCTCTACGTAGTCAGTCACCTCTCTTCTCACTACTTATTCATATCCTGATTTAAAAGTATTCATGGTACTTGCAAATTAACTAAGTTTAGGAAGCATTAATTTCACCAAAAACCATTCAAAATAATAGCAATTATAGTAATCCCCATATTAAATTATTCATATATTAGTAGCAAAATATTTGTAACTATGTACCGTAAATATAAGCATAAGCAAACGAGGGAAACATCAGTTGGAAAGCGTACAATGGACATATATATATGCATATTTATTGAGTGGTACAGTTTCACTGAAATCTGTTTTCCAGCATCACTTTCAACTGGTTCGACGACTTCCCAGAAACTGTCATTCCGTCTTCACACGATTTCCGTGTCACTTTTCGTCTGTTATATGATGTCACCTGAAGGTCTCCTCAAAGTTTGTGAAATCCACCATCTCCATTTTCGTCTTCATATTTGTTTGGTAATAGGTTATTGCCTTATTCGCTAGGGTAACAGATTTCTTGCTGCTTGCTTATCTTTCCGGCCAACCGGCCGTCTTATCTTCTGCTGCTGCTGCTGCTGGATTCAACATAGAACTTGGCACCGAAGTGCAGCAGTTCGAGTTGCCACGTTCCAAATAGCACACAAAGGTAGACAGGAAAATGAGAGAAGAAAATCAATGGAATTTAGATAAGTATAAGAGTGAAACAGAATGAGTAATGGTAGAAAGGAATATGAAGGTTAAAGAGACTGAATACATCTGCGCCATTGACAACGATTTTGAGCCATATCACCTAGTGTCTCCAGCCATTGATTCTTAGAGTCCCGAGGGCCCCAACCCGGAAGTCTGCATCTCCCTACCTGACTCAGTTTAACTGTCAGGGATTTCATGGATTGATGCCAAGTTTTTGTTCGGCCACCACTTACTCTTTTCCAACCTGCACCTATATCAGCTAGTAATGCCCATCGGGGAAGACGATGGTTAGGCATGCGCAGCACGTGACCTTATCTTCAGTACTGAGACAGCCAGCTGATGATGCAAGTTTGAAGCAGGTTGTTGGAAATATTTTCCGTCACGCGTGCGCTAAGCCATATAACCTCACAGAAGCAGTGACTTCACGTCGATGTTAAAATTTCTGATCGTGTTCTATGTGCTGAGTAAGTAAAATAAATCTCAACACTTGTTTCAGAGTAATGAAAGTCTGTCCTGCTCTCCCGACCCACAATTCACACTCAGGAAGATCATCAGTGATAGCAGGCAGTCACGTCTTATTCCTGTCTTCACTTCAAACGCTTCGGAGAGCTTTCTGTTGTGAATCACTTGGCATGTGACATCAATACGTAGCTGTCGAATGGGGTTCATGAATGTTTGCTGTACTGCACTTTGTAGTGTTGAGTGGTTACTAAACTAATTCTTAGTCGACGCAGTCAAAGACGTCGAGACAAATCAGTGACTGCCACTCTAGAGTATGTTTGATGATGACATGCACTGTTCCGATTTGATCCGCGCATGAAATATTTTTCTTGAATCCAAGTTGTATTCAGGATGGCGTTCTGTATCCAGGGGATCTTTTAATCTTCCCACGATGATACAGATTACTTTTTTGCCCAGAGTGGATATGAGCATTATTTCCCGTCAGTTCGTGTGTAAACTTAAGTTCACCTTCCTTTTCGGGTTGAGGAGGTAGCTCTTCTTCCAACCGAGAGGTACCTCTCTTTCTCTAAACACGTTCTGAGGTAGTGGCGTGAGCATGTTACTTGAGTCCTTGATTTCATTTTCTGGAATCTTTCAAGATGGATAGTCGAGTGTTTTTAATGTCTCATCTCCTTGATAACTATGTTTGTTTCACTGTCTTTCACCGTCTCCATCTGTATTGAGCTAACCAGCTTAAGGTGTTAGTCAACTTATTGCACATCTAACTCGTGTGTGCTTTTTTTTCACTGGGAATTATCCTGCATCCTTTTCTTTCACTATCTTCCCATGAAACTGTTATCTTTTGACTCGAGTTAGACACAGGGCTACAAGGCTAGAATTCGCGGTACCTATACTGTTGTATTTATAGTGTTGAGGTTGATAGCCTGACTCCGAATATATAGTCTGCCTTCTTTCAGCCTGTGTCAGTAACAGTGTAATCACGCAATTAAAACGTTTGCATAACCAAATACAGTTTTCAGATGATCTAAACCACATCTCAAATAATAAATCTTTTCCATTCACAACAAAAATGAATAAAGGTTTACGATCAAAGCCATAACGATGATTTCTTTTTTGATTACGACTAAAACATCTCGGAATATATTACCATTTAACTACTACCTTTTCTTCACATCACTTTATTTTTCAGATGTCAAAATGAAATATCACATAAGCTTGAAGAAAAGCGTAGAAATGATGTCTTACAATCACAGGTAATAAATTATTCAGCGATTGAGTGACCCATATTTAAAAATGACCGCCCATTATAATAAAACAGTGTTGATTACTGGTTTGACATTTCTAGCGTTATCTTTGTCTAGAAACCTCCTTAGAGTTAAGGGATATTCAGAGTGTACATATCTTCAACGTGAAAGTGTGGACTTGATTTCCGGTAGACTGAAATGGGAGCCAAATTTTAAAGTTACTAAGTAGTAATATCAAGAGAGAATCTGCTTTTAAACCCGAAATATCATATTGGAGAATATGAGTCGTATTTCCCGCGAATAACTTGAAATTGGAAAATTATTAGTAGTTCAGTCACTTATTCCTCCCACTGTGATAACTGTTCAAAATAACAAGAAATAGTATTATGTATTTTGACCTGACACTTAAATTATAATTTTTAACGAAGCATTTAAATAATGCTGAACATAATGGAAGCGCTTTAACTACCTTTACTTCAGGTATAAGATGATAATACAATGGTAAAGCAGGAATATGCTAAATGGATTTACTTATCTAATAAATAATAGTGCCATTACCAGGCATCTCTTTGATACGGGTCATGAGATGGAAATCGGAAATTACTTTAGGAATATCAATAGACAAAAAAGCCCAGTCCTCCTCAAGTTTGCCCAAGCAACCTCCATCAAACCCCTGAAACCCAATTTGTGTGTTCAGAAAGAAGCAGTGATCAGTCTTTCTTTGCCCTGCCTGGTAACTAGATGTTTTTATTCTCTCTTTCATTTGATTACATAACCTCTGACTCTAACCTCACTCCCCTTCGAAATAGTGTTACTTCTCTTGTCTCTTGTTTCTGTGATTTGAGTTGAACTCAGTAAATTGTGATCCAACTTATTAGTTACTCATCATCATTTTACGCATCTCTCGTCCTTATTACGTAACTCCTTCACCACTGTATGCATATATTTACTTTGTTCAAACTTGAACTCTCTGTGCAAAAACTATGTAAGCGTAATTTTCTGAGTACTGTTCGGAACTGCCTATCAACTGACATCATGTGAAAATTGCAAGTATGTTAAAACTTTTCTGTACATAAACTTAATAATTATTTAGGCTGTACGGAAGTGATGAGAAGCCAACGAAATAAATGATGGCACCATATTATTCTGCAAAAACCACTGTTGTTCATGCTTTATTCAAATAATTCACGGTAGAGCTTTTATGGGGAATTATTATTATTTATCTGAAGGGATAGTCTAAACATGGGATCGAAAAGTAGTATTTAAAATTTCCACCTAATGTATTTTGCTACATCGTATGACATATGAATAACAACCAGGTGATAATAAAAATAATTGAAAAGAGAATCTAAATAATAAAGGTTTGTTTCTGAAGATTATTTAAAATAAGTTATAAGTGTTTGCTTTTTTTCAAGACAAATAGCAGGAAAAGCAATAAAGTAACTTGTACCTGATTCTAGGACCCTTTTTTAAATTCTAGCATATAAAGTTGACCAAAATCAAAAGATACATTTTCTATGTTATAATACATTAAATACTGTCATTTAAGCTGCAGAAAAAAATTTCAAAGGACAAACATTTCTCTCACCCTTTGACAACATCTCACAATAGTCTATTTGATCTCAAAACCCTTAAACCTTATTCATCATCTATTCAACTAGGCAAATACAATTTTCTCAACAACAGTCTATTTCTCTTATTATGGATTTAACGGAAAAATTTAGTCCACTTCCTCATTTTTCTTTCTTGGCTTTGAGTTGATGTAACATGATCACCACAGGGTGTGATGTGCAAAACACTGGAAAAACTATATAAGCAAATGAATAAGGTAAGAAATAATAATAATAAAACAAATTACGATGCACTAGCAAATTTAAACCTTGATTATCTACTGTATTCAAGAGTTGATTTGTAAAAACTAGATTTGTTTTACGACTTTGACCACGGATTGAAATCAGTTACAGCACCACTGAAAACCAGGGAGTATTGGACAGCTGTTTCATCCTAGTTTGGGAATCATCGGCAGTAACCACACGCCGGGGTCCAATCACCAACGGGATAAATTTAACATAGGTTACTTCCTTCACTTATCTGGCAAACAAGAATCATTTCAACTACAGGCATTCGGAACGGATGAAAATGTCAAAGTCATGATGTCTGAATGGGAAAGGCAAGATACACCTTCATCAATCTGAAAGCAGTTTTGAAATCTTCTGCACTGACTCAGAATAAGAAACAAAATACGCACTTTCAACACCAATGTCAAGTCAGTCCTTCTGTACGGGTCAGAAACTTGCACTGCGCGTCACGAAGAGCCTTTTCAACAGGCTACTTCAAACTTT